AGTGTGACCACATCCGATTCGATGGTGCTTTCTTTCTCCCTCCCTGCCTACCCCTGTTAGTGCACATACCTTCTGGCAAGAAAACAACAACAACAACAACAATAATTGTAGTAGTAAAGGCTGACTACAGTCCAAAACACCATGCTTCTGCCTGTCATTTAACGTTGCTGGTCTGCTTGCCCTCAGATGTCACTGTTTTGAAGCTGTGCGCAACAAGCCATGGAGCAGCAGCATGGGCCAGTGTCAAGCTGTGACTGCCGCACTACACTGCTGAGGCCACAACGGCCACACACGGACTCCACGCCCTCTCCGCCTCAGACTGGTTTCTCATATTTTCACTTTCTCTAAAGATGTCAACATTATTAAAAACAGACAGGAGTTTACGAAAGAGATTCCCATGGAACACCTTAATTCTTTCATCATATTTGTATAACAACTGCTAGAAAGCTTATTTCTAATCTGCAAAAGAAAAATGAATCTGGACTTGTTTCCAGAATCTGTGAGTTTTCAAAGAAACCTAAGTGTTTTAGTTTCTTATGCACAGTCACGGATAAGAGAGCACCCTAAGTTCATGGAGACTTTCTTCATTATCTCCCCTTTTTCTCTCTCAGCTCCTCTCCCTACTCTCTTCTTCTTTCCATGTATATATATGAATTTTTTGTTCGAGTTCATGGAAAATGCACATTAGGAAAAAATGCATATGGATTTCAAAACTTTTCTGCACCAAAATAAACTCATACATTAATTCCATTTTTCTACAAACTTTCTGAAGTCCCCTCATATATGTATGCACTGACTCCTCTATTGCTATTTATTTCTTCCTTTCTTCCTTTTGTTTCTAGTCTATCCCATGCCCCACTCAGCCCACTCACTGCCTTTGACAGAGAAAAGAAAAAGGTAACACATTAACTTTCTCTATTGGCACATAAAATGCTTGAAGACAAATGAATTAAAGAACAACTAACTTGTGTATGATAGAAAAAGAGAGCCACAGATATCTTCCTGCCTTCCGGTATCTTCTCACCTCCTTCTGGCTTAAGATAGAAACAACCATCAGATACTTTAACTATGAGAAACTGTTTTTTTAATATTGTTCTGAATCAATTATTTTAGAAAATTTACAGTAACTAGTTATCAATACACCAAGAGCTTCATTCAGTATACGATCTTGGTCTTTATAGCTGCATTTGTTTAAAAATGTAAGGAGAAAACATCTAGATAAAATATAACCGGAAGAGGCCATCTTCAGCCTGGCCTGTGCTTTACTCAACGTCACACCCCAAGCCAGTCTCCTTGGGAGACAGGAAAAAAATGGTCTTTCTACCCAGCTGGGCATGTCATTTGTGGCTTCGCTCCTTGACCAACCAGCCAGAATAATGGAGGAGACTACCTTCAGCCCAGCCTGTGCTTCACTCACCACCCAACCCCATGCCAATCTCATTAGAGACAGGAAGGAAGGCATTTTCCATCTTGCCAGGTGTGTCATTTGCTGCTCGACACCCCTTCTGGCCAGCCAAAACAAGGTAGGAGGCTGTCTGCAGCCTGGCCACAAGACATGTCACCAGTAGCACATGTCCTGTGCTACTACCTCACACCTGACTTTCCCAGCTGGGCTCAGAGCTACATCAGACATGAGAGTTTGGGAAAGAAAGTAACTGCCTAAGGATACCATGACTCTGGAGGAATTTTCCCCACTCTCTCCTCTATTGGAAAAAAAGGAGAAATTCCAAACTCTGAAACTTCTACCATGGATTCCAGCACACTCACCCATAGAAGAACAAAGAAGTTAACATGGAGTTAATATACACCGCAGGGAAGTATGCAAGTATACAGCTGCAGAAACCTATCCAAAAATGTAGGAAAAAGTAAGGACACCATCTAATGCCTAAAACCAAAGAAGAGCCCCCCAGAACTATGAGAAAACCAGTTAGCTATCTCCCCCTCAAAGGAACACAATAACTCCCCACCAAAAATGTAACCAATACAAGAAATCATGGAAATATTAGAAAAAAAATTCAGAATATTCATCATAACAAAACTTAATGACCTGCAAGAGAAAGTTCCAGAGGATGATAAAATTGTTCTATGACTTAAAGGAGACATTCCATAAAGAGATAGACAACCTAAAAAAGAAGCGAACGGAACTTTCGGAGATGAAAAATGCAATACAGGAAATCGAAATCTCCCTCACAAGTATTAGTAGCAGATTAGACCGTGCAGAAAAAGAAATTGCTGACCTTGAAGACAAAAGCACCAATTTAGTTCAAGCCATAAAAAGAATGGAAAAATAACCATTATAAATGAGGACAAGGAACAGGAAATTCTAGACAGCATGAAGCAGCTGAAATAATGGGTATTCCAGAAAGTGAAGCAAGGGGTAAAGGATGGAAACTCTCTTTTGGGAAATATTGTCTGAGAACGTCCCAAATCTAGAGAAATGTACACACATCCAGATCCAAGAAATACAAAGAACATCAAACAGATTCAACATAAGAGAATCTACTCCAAGGCACATGAAAGCCAAATTGGTAAAAATCATAGTAAAGACAATATTCTAAAAATGGCAGGAAGGAAACACCAAGTTATTTACAAAGGTTACTCCATTAGACTAACATCAGACCTCTCAACTGAAATAATCCAGAGAGAAAAAAAATGAGAAAACATATTCAAAACCTTGAAAGAAAAAGAAAATTCAGCCAAGAATACTATTCCCAGCAGGATTATCCTTCAAATGGGAAGAAGTAAAATAATACCCAGATAAACGAAAACTGGAAGTATTCACTAACACCAGACCAGTTGTTCAGGAAAATTTCAAGGGAATACTACACCAGGAAAAACAAAAGGGGAGACTAATAGAAATAAGAGATCACAAAACAATGTATCTTTAAAAATGACTAACAAAACGATGGCACAAATCTGAACATATTGATAGTAACACTCGTTGTTAATAGATTACATTCCCCAATGAAAAGATATTGATTGGTTTAACAGACTAAAAAAAAGGAAGAACCTTCTATATGTTGCTTACAAGAAACACACCTCATTGATAAGGACATACACAGACTGAAAGTAAAGGGATGGAAAAAGTCATTTAATGCAAACAGAAACAAACAAACAGAAGGCCAATGGCATGATACTGATAGCAGGACACTGTATAATATTAAAAGGATTATTTCACCATGAAGATATAGTAACTGTAAATATTTGTGCACCCAACAGCAGGATATCCAAATACATAAAAGAAAGACTTCTAGATCTAAAGAAGGAGATTGGAACACTCTAATTTTGGGAGATTTCTATACATCACTGTCACAACTAGACAGTTCACTTAGACCAAAAACAAACAAACAAACAAACAAAAAAACCGGAGAGACACAGGAGTTAATTGATGCCATAAACCAATTGGACCTGACTGACATTTATAGGACATTTTACCCAACGACTATAAAATATACTTTTTCTCAGCCTCACATAGGACATTTTCAAAGACTGACTGCATAGCATGGCATAAAACAGCCTATAAACTTTTTTTAAGTATAAAAACTATATATCAAAAGCTCCTTTACTCAACAAGGCAGAGTGAAGCAGAGTTTAAAAAGGGGTTCTTAGATATAAAGGCTGGGGGGAACAGAGGTTCTAGAGCTTATTAAGGATGCAGTAGTGGTCATGAAAGCTTCTGTAGGAACTGTTCCTAGTGGGTCTCACAGATGAGATACAAGTAGACAATGGTCTAAAACCTCTACCAGGTTTGTCTTCCCGAAATACAGTTCAAAAAAGTATAAATTTTCTAGTAATTATTTTTAATATTGTTCCAAGAAAAATTATAAGTTACTTTTATAAACTTCAGTTATATCCAAAGCTATAACAAGAATCTTTTCTCCCTGGGGCATGCTTAATGACGCAGCAGTAATGCACTGCTGAAGCCATGCTGGATCAATCTAAAATAACTGCAGATTCAGTTCTCTCATTGATATGCACATGTCAGGTGTATATAGCCACGATTTTGGTTGGCCAAGCAAGCTGAGGGGCAGGGGCATGGAATCATGGTATGAGACCCTATTAAAGGTACTTATCTCTTTCTCCCTCATAAAATAAATAAAATTAAAAAAAAAAATCTCTTCCCCCCAACTACATAGATAAGAAGGTCTGAAGAGACTACATAGAAGCCAAGGTGAGAGCTCCTTGTTTAAAAAAAAAAAAAAAAAAAAAAGCCCACCCCTCCACTGCAGGGAGTAATACCAGCAAGAAGTTATGGAAACCAGTGTCTAAAAAAAGGGTTACCTGTATTTGTAGTCTACTTTTCTATTCTACCCAATCACATCTGGATTTCACTGCTTTGAAGTGTTTTGTTTGTTTGTTTGTTTGTTTTTTAGATTTTTGCCATAGGGCATGTGTACTTGCTGAAAAGAGACAGAAAGAACTGGAAAGTGAGAAGTCATCCCCCAGGAGGGATTAGCCATGCCATGATCCCTTCTCCTCCATTCGCCTCTTAGGATTTTGGACACGCACGCATATGTGCTCAGCATGATTTTCCAGCAATCAGGTCTAGGACTCAAACTGCAAAATCAGTCATGTGGGATCCAACTGTCTTAACTTCCATGCCACCTGCTGGCCCTGCTTTGAAGAATTTTAAGGCACAAAATTGTTTTCATGGATGCAAGAAAAGGGTGTGCAAAATCACCAAGATAAAATACCTTAATTTCATGTGCATACACTTTCTTGTATGCCTATACATTTGACAGTTTAAAGGAAAACCCGTGGTTCAATACTTGGATAATGTTAGGTATTCCATTATTCAGGCCCAATACATATTTATAGTTGTTTTTGTTTAAAGTTCAAAATTTTACAAGTATGCTTCAATTATACAGTGCTACAATGACAAGATTTTAAATGTGTATTTTTAGAACCCAAATATGGAAACCACTGTAGAATCATATCAAAACTAAAGAAGTTCCAGATTCCTCCCAGCCTCAAACTCAGTGAACATCTATTCCACTTGCCTGCATAGGTGTTGGCCTTGTTCAAGAGGTCTGTGCATGCATGCATATCAGCAAAAGCCCGGATTCCTAAGCAGTTGACAGGGTGAAGTTGGGATTCCAGAAATTCACAGCAAGTCTTCTTCACATCCTGTAACTGTAACAGACCTGCTGCTGGGAGAAGTACCTGTAACACACAAGTAAACACGCTTAGGCAACTGGCTTGGACAAACACTGTCTCTACCATTTGTTTCTGTAAAGGGCACCAAAGGGCACAAGAAGTCCAGTCATGGCTTATGATCTATAGCCACACCTGAATATGCCATAGAAAACAAAAGTATCAATTATTTGTAAAATTGGTAATGACTCTTCACATTCCCCATAATTTCCATAGAATCTTTCAAAAGTCTCCTCTTCTTGGTCACAAGAATATGCATAAGAAGTATCAGATCATATTACATTAATGGCTTGTCTTTTTAAAAATAAGCTAAATGCTCCTTTAGTTATAAAACCATAACTTAACTAGGATGCTAGGGGGTGCTGTGGTTCAACGAAAATGGTCTGTGCTTTTATGTTAAGCAGCCATGAGCTTCAGTGATTGGGAGGAAGGGTTGGGCCCAGAGTGATACATATCCACCACAAAGCCTGCTGAAAGCCTGTTTTTCCAGTCTGACTAACACATCAAACTGTATTCCCTATGGAGTACAGGCAATTTTAAATTCAAGTCTCTAGCTACAAGCAGACAGTTTCTCTACAATGAAAAATATGTGCTTAAAAGGAAAACATAAAAAGTAATTGCCTAATAACTTTAAAATCTGTTTTTTATTTGAATAACTCCAAGCAATTTTATATTAATTATAGGTTATTCTGTAGGCTTTAACCACTATTTTCACTCTAAATACTACATTCAACATTTTAACTGTTTCTCAAATAGGTCAATAATGGAAACATTTTTCCTTGTATGTGAATTAGTACAGAGCTATGTTCAAAGCCACATTTGAAAGTCAAAATGAGGGAAAACTTCATTTAAAAAAAAGAAGTTACTTAACATCTGTTCTTTAATAAAAGCTAAAGAAAAAACACAAAGCACTGTTAACTATGAGAGCAAGTCAATTTTAGATCACATTAGCATAAATAAAACCATAAAACCTCTATGTCCTTTCAGGAATTGACTTTCATATACGCCATACTACAGAGAATGAAGAAATAGCAAATATCTTTTATGATTTTCCTAAATCTGTGTAATAAGTCCTAAACGTGAAAGAGAGAAATTCATGTTTCTCTGTAACAGAAGCAACTTATTTTCTTAAAGAAAGCACAGAAGCTTTAACTCTTACATATGAAGTGTGAGTGTGTGTGTGTGTGTGCGTGCGCACGCACATGCACGCATACCTGCAACCACACATGTACACAAGCAAATAGTAATGAACAGAATTAAGGACTAAGAGTAACAGTTTATGCTTTAGCCCAACCCTGTCATTTTTTCCTGATTTAAAAAAAAAAAAAAACATATCAATAGATACTGACTTCTAAATTTAAGGAAAATGAAGTATAACTAATGCTACTGTAGCCAAACCTTTTGCATAATATGTACAATGTGTTTCATTAGATTATGAGAATGAATCTCCATGGAAGACTTTAATTGTTGATAATTTCCGAGTAGGAGGTTTTTCTATGCTGGTATAATTGTGCTCTGAAGAGATATAAAGTACATTCCAAGATACTTAACAGTGTGGCCATTTAATTCAGCAAACACATATAGCTTCGAAAGTGGTCTTCAGTGTAATATTTAATCTCTGTGAAATCTGCATACATAGTAATGATCACCCATCTAATCAGCATTTTCCCAGAGAGAAAACAGTGTGGTACAGTAGTACACAAATCGTTAGATATCAGAAAGATGAGGGGAAAGTGGTTAAGCAGGAACAGTCTTCCTCCTATATAACCTACAAAGAAATACTATGTTTTATTCCAATCAAAATTACAAATGCACACATCCCTTGGCCCAACAATTTAACATACATTCTAGTATACACATAATCTCAAATGTATAAGGTATTCAGAACACTATCTATGGGTAAGAGTAGAGGTTGAATAAAAGTCTAAGTACCCTTCCTAAGAAAAACGGTTAAATAATTATTATAATCACCCAGTCGTTGTCAACTTAGGAGTCATTCAAAAGGAAAAAAAAAAAAAAAAAAACTATACAAATGGGACAATCTCTGAGAGATATATATGTCCAAGTGAAAAAAATCAACGATTAGTATGTTATCAAATACATTCACACTTAAACATGCATCCTCCTGAAGAAGCAGCTACAGCAGGCTTTAAAATTTTTACTGCATTTGGGAACCAGCAGTTAGCGTAATGGCTATGTCACTGGACTTCCACATAGTCGACCGCGGTTTGCGTCCCGGACCCGGTGGCTTAAAACTCACGCCGGGCGCGTGTGCGTGCGTGCCCAAGATCCCGAGAAGAGAATGGAGGAGAAGGGATTGTGGCGTGGCCATCCCCCC